ATTCTATTATGTTAGTATATTGTTACATCTTTTACTTAATTCACAAACGGTTTTTAGAGTATGGTTTAGAGATTAAAATGTAGGTTTAAATTGTGTCCGTAACACTTTTTATTTATTATAATAAAATACCATTAAATAAACTATAATAATTATTCAAGTAAGTTAACCTTAAGTTTCGTTTTATTCAAAACGATAGCAGTTTTCATGTCAAGAGTTTTTATTTCCATATTGTTTTGAAAGATGTTTCTGACAATTGAAAAAAAGATTCAACATCACTCGAAGTCGGAACAATTCCAATTCCAGTCAAAACAACTTTTTTGAGAAGTGGATATTCAATTTCTGAAATAAGCTTCATCTTGAACATATCCAGTAATGTCAAAACTTTCTCAATTTGGAAACACTCAAGTTCCTGTATTTTCAACATTTTGTTATTTTCAATTAAATAATCAGAAATAATTTTACGATTGTTAAAAATCACAATTTTCAGATTAGATATTTCATCTTTAAGATATGAAAATTGTTTTGCCAATTCAATTGTCTTTTTACTCGTTTTAAACATTTGATTTGGAATTGTCAATACACAGTACAGTGAATTGTATGTATTATTTTCTTTCAAAATCAACACGTCTTCAAAATTGGTAATATCATTTGTTAACAACGCATAATCACATTTGTTGCCAATAGAACCGAAACGAATAACGAGTGCGTTGATATAATTGTTCATCATTTGAATAACAACATCATTTGCAGCTTTTTCAAATGAATTTGTCTCGCTTATTTGTTTGTTTTTGATGTTTTTTTTAAAAATCAATAAAGTATTGAATCATATTAATAATCAAACAAAACTGTTCTTCGAACAAACCAAACTTTTGCTGAAGTGCATCATTGCCTTTTTTAGCAACAGTTGTAATATGAAACAAACTCAATACAACTGTATTGTTTTGCTTATCAAACAAATTAAAGTATTTAGGTATTTCACTTGATTTCAATTGTTTTATCTCGCTTATTTTTGATATTATACACTTTTGAATTGATGGTTTACTCATAAACTCAAACACCAATGATTTGTTGTAGACTAACACATCCAACAATAACGCATGATAAAACCAACGTGTCCCCGGAGTGGTCGGAATTGTAATTTTTTGAAGGTGTTTTTTTAATGATAAAATTATCCCATTCAGTTGTTGTTGTACTAAGTTGAAACCAGTTTAATACCTCCAAAATAATTAAACAATTAGTGTTTTTCCAAATAAAACCTTCGCACACATTCATTCTATGACAATTGCAGTATTGAGTAAAAACATGAGAATCAATACCTTTCATGTTAACTTTAATTTTGTGTAATTCTTCACACAAAAGGTTAACCATTCCACATCTCAAACCTAACATATTACTAGCACCATCACAACATATAGAAATCAATTTCTTTAAATCAACATCTCTTTCTTTTAGACAATTTATTACACTATCACTCAAATTTGCACCAGTACTTTTTTCCAAACAACCTGAACACAACCAGTTTTCTTTGAGTAACAATAAAGTTGTTATCAACAAATCTAACAACAATTGCTACTAAGTTAACGCCCTTCCGTTTCGAACTGTCTACAATTATTGAAAAATAAACACACGAGACAAATTCGTTTATTATTAAATCATCATCATTAGCTTTGAATTGAACCATTCTGTTTTCAGTTGTCGAAGACTCAATACGCAAATCAATTTCAGATAGAGACACGTTGAAATAAAACAAAATGACAAACTCAACAAAGTTTTTAACTATTTCTTTTTGTTGTTTCGAGAATGGCAACAAACAAGTAATCATAGAATACAACAATGAAGCGATGTATGATTTTCTTTTATTGACACATTTTGTATGAGACAAACTATAGTTTGATTCAAAATACATTTTAATTTTGTTATTAATATTTGTTGCACATCCAGGTTTTAAAAATTCAGGAGAAATATTAGATACAAAATTAATGTTGTTGATATCATTTTGATTTTTTGAATCACTTTCAATGATAATTTTATCACAAATCATATCATCCGTGGATTTGTCACAACTTGAATCTTCACTATATAAATCACATATCTCATTTTTCATGTAACGTTGTTTCAAATATTTCTTCTCCACATAAACTCGTGTTAGACTTATTTAATTCAACCTAATCATTCAAATCTACACGACCTTTATTTTCATTTTCGAAAGTATCATTTGCACTGAATTCTTGTTGATCATCTATTTTTGTTTCAGCAAGACTGTTCAAAATGCAAATTTCGTTGAATTGAGTCTTTAATTTATTGGTTAGTTCATATTCTTTTTTAATTAACAAATCGAGTTTTGATACTTTGTGATTTCTTGATGTGACTTGGTCTCTGTCTAATTCATGAATGACTATATTTTGTTTGAAAAATTTCATTTCGTTAACTGTCAATTTTTTTCTTTTGTTTTCAGTAAACAATGGCAATATCCTCCTTTAGATTTATGTATTTTAATGATAACAAGAGCACCTTCTTCCAAAACATTTCGTTTGTTAACGATTAAAATCGTCAATGTATTTAATTCCTTTCGGAGTTAAATCCACTTTGTGCTTAAAATCCCTGTAATGACTATAACCCGATTGCTTTGACCAACAATCACAACACAACAAACAATACATAAATACCAAAACGCCGTGTTCATATATAGGTAACATGTGAGTTTTGTTTACAGTTCGAATAAATCTTTTTTCTTGCGTTTCGTATGTGGTTTTCCTTTTTCCCCTTTCCATTTGTTTTTTAAGTTTGTTTATTATTTTTTGCCGAAAAAAAGTTTTTTGTTGAAATTTATTTATAGAGCTTAACTGTCCGAAATTGTCGTTGTTTTGGAAACCCTGTTTTAACTCTTTAACTGAAAGTGTGTTTAAATTGCCATTTAAATCATCATAGTATCTATTTACATTAGCGTAATAATGTTCATCTTAGTATAAATCATACTCATTGTAAAAGTCTTTGTTCTCTTTAATCTTAAAACTTATTGGGTTACTTGTTATTCAATGGTCATTGAATATATGTAAGTGTGTACATTTTTATATCAAAATAAGCTACATTCATTGGAAATACAATCCAACATAAAAATAAATTCCCACAATATTCAAATATATTTTTCTTAAAGCATTAAATAAAGTTCAATTAAATTAAAGTCAATAAAAAACATATAAAAAATGAATCTTTAAATCAATTTCAATTTTATAAATATGCTAAAGTAAATCTTCTCAAGAGTATGAGGTTTTGGTAATTATTGTTCACTCAAAAGCGGCCATTTTAGACAATTAAGTTTTAATTACCACGTTATTGAGAACTCAATTTATTGTTTCAGTTTAAAGTGTCCACAAATAAGAAACCACTATTCAGAAATCACACTCTTGGGTGGTTTTATTGTATAATAAAAATCTTAAGACAAAAAATAATAACATTTTAAGTAGAGACGCTTAAATAAGAACATTGAAATTTGGTGAATTTGCATTTGCGCTCTGTTAAAATTTTCAGAACTTCGATTACAACGAAAACTTGGAATTTATAAAAATATTTTCTTTTAAATTTAGTAAATATTTTTAATGTACATTTAAAAAATGTGAACTATCTTAAAATATTTGCTTTTATGCGGCGTAAAATAGCAGAATAAATTAATATAAAAATACCATTTGATATTTAAGTAAACATAAAGTGTGTTAAGCCAACTAAAATTTGTATTTTATTCAACATTAATAATAACGAATTGTTAGTAACAAAAATTGAGTTAAATATCTAAAATAATTAAACTTAATAAATGTCGTTCTAAGTGTTGAGAAAGTGTTTTATAATGAAATTACTCTTCAAAAATAAAAAAGCCAACTTTTCAATTATCATTTAATAAACTTCAACGTGTCATTACGATTACTAAAATAAAAATGAAATATGACAATTGATTTACATTCAAAAATAAATTGAATTAAATTTTATAAATTTGTGATTTGGTATAACTATATCAAAGTGAAAATACAGTGTTAATTATATCTTAGAAGCACGTATGGTTCATTTTTGGAAACGTTATACTAAATAAACCAATTTGTATGAATTATTTTTAAAACATGACACTATTTTTTATAAAAAATACATATAATCTAAACATAAAATGCAACAAGGTATATTAAGAAAGTTGACATTATCTATTGTTATTTAAATTCGTCAACAAAAACTGTCAGAACCATATGTCCGACATTAAAAGTAAAAAAATACCATGACACAATCTGAAACATGTAATATCTATGACACTTGTATAATAACAATTAATTTAAAAACACAAACTATATTCACTATAGTTAACTTTTCGAGAATTTAAATTGTTTATGGGCTGATATGTTAACACAATTCAATTTTTGAAATCAGAGATACATCAACTCTTTATACAACAAATGACAATTAATAAGTGGAAAGTTTATATTTCGGTGAAAACACGGTCTATATTATTTAAGGTAATTCATCTATATTGAATTTCGAGAATTTGATATTTTTACTGGAAATTTTAAAATTTCATTTTTAGAAAATTCTTTTGTTAAATTACACAAAACTTTAAATTTAATGGAAATAGCAATTGTCAAATGTTTTTTAAATCAAAATTTACACAAGAAAAAACGTGACCAAATTTATTAAAAATCCAAAGTGTGAAAATTGACTTTATTTCAATACAACGACACAAAAATGTGATACATGTTCGGATTCAAATTGTATTGATTGTTTTTACAATACAAAAAAATATTTAAGATGTCAACAAGAATATTTGAAAACAATGATAGAAAATGCGTTGAAATACTAAACTGTTTGTTGAAACGATCAAATCGATGTCTAAAATGTTCAGATGGGTATTTACTTCTTAAAGGTGACTGTCAAAATACACCATTTTGTTTGAACCAATCTTTGAGTGAAACATGTCAAATTTGTAGTATACACAAATTATAAATAATTAACAACAGTGTTGTGAAATTGCAGGTGAACACTTGTTATACACAAATCAAAATAATATAATTGCCTATAAAAGTGGGTATTTAACAAACTCAACAAAATGTCAAAAGTGTTCAAATCTTTTTAACTCAAGTATTTTGTGTGAAAATGGTCGTCCCACAAAATGTGAAATTTCATATAAAATAAATTCGAATGGTAATTGTGAAGACAGACACTGTTATGATCAAGGTGATAAAAATGTGAAATGTTTAAGATTTTAATACAACTGCACTTACATCACAAATTCAAAGTGTAAAATGTGTGATCCTAATTGTTTGACTTGTGTCATGAATCCGACTTACTGTCTATCATGTCCACCAGGATCTTACATTTCAAATTACATTTGCAAAAAAATTCGAAATTGGTAGAAATTTGCACACAATTTATGTCATCGTATGGATGTGCCAAATGTACTGAAGGTTATTACAGAAACTGTTGGACTGTTATAAATGCAATCTTTCATGTATTTTGTGTAATAAAAATTAACATGTTTGATTTGTAATTCAACATATTACAAAACATCAAGTAAAGACTTTAAACCACAAAATAGCATAATTGGATGTAATGTTGATGTTAAACAATTTGGATGCACAAAATGTAAAGACGGGTATTTTTATGTTAATGAAAATGAATGTAAAAGTGTAATACAACTTGTCTGACATGTTCATCCCAAAAAGTTGTCTTACTCTCAAGTGGAATATGTGTGAAACTTTCTCAAATATCCAAGTGCAAAGAAATAAAAATTCAAAATGCAACAAATGTTCATTCTGGTATGAATTTAGTCCAAATGGGACTTATCGTGAAAAGAAAGATGTATTAGGGGTTATAATTGTTATAATTCTATTTATTATTTTTGTATTATCAATTCTTGTTATAGCATTAGTATTTTCTATGAAAAGAATTTCAAAAATGATACACACAAAGGAGTTAGAAAAAACAACAATTATATTCGAAATTGAAAAATCAAATGTCAAAATTATTTTACTTGCAAACAACATTTGCGTCTCTTCAAAAGAACTCAATTTCAATTCTAAAATTGAAAAGATTCCTGTCAACACAGAAACAAAGATTGTGTTTTGTGTAGGCTTTATGTTCAAAAATGTCTTAAAAATTTAGTTTAAAACGACTACACAAATTGACAAATTTACAATAAGAGTAACACCAGAAGTCATATTTAAAAAAATGCGTGTGAATTTACGATTTATTTGACACTTAAATGCACATTTAAAATGACACCATTTGAGTAGTCGCAAAAAAACTAAAAACAAACATCGAAAATATAAATGAAATCATAATGAAAAGAGTAACTAAAATAAATAATGAAAAATTAAGTGAAAAAATTTAATTGGGCGAATGATTTTTTGGTGTTATTTACAAAGGACAATACAGAGGAAACGATGTTGCGATTAAAAAAAATGAAACAAAAAGAAGATAACAAAATTGATTGTTAAGATAAATCAGATGATGAATTTGAAAAAATGCAATGTTAGACAAATTCAGGAGTGAGTATATAATCTATTATTGGAGCTGTGTTTGTACAAAATAAAGTGTGTATAATCACCCAATTTGATCTGTTTGGGTCATAACAAGATTTAATAAACATAGAAAAAACAACGAAATTAAAATGAAATTTCGAATAAAGTTGATGTTTGATACATTAAGTGAAATTATATATTTACATACAAATTGGATATTACACAGAGACATTAAACCAGACAACATACTTATTGTTTCAATTGATTCAACAACAATGTAAATGCCAAACTGACCGATTATGAATTGCGAGAAACATCAACTTATTAATGATTAACATGACATTCACAAAAGGAATTGGAACACTAGTCTACATGGCGCCTAAAATTTTAATACGAGAAAATTACAAGAAACCTGCTGATGTATACTCTTTTGCTATAACCATGTTCGAGTGTTTTACATGGAGTTATGCATATTCTAAAAATAAATTTAAATTTCGATAAACAATTGCAAGGTTTGTGATTCAAAAGTTAAGATTAATAAACCAGATGAGATGAATCAAAACACATGAAAATATATGTTACATATATATAATACTATCTGTAATTGTTGTGAAAACTAACCTACAAAAAGAAATTCATTAGAAAACGTCAACTATGAGTTTGAAACAATATTAAATCACACATAATGAACTATTTTTAAATAATTAAATTAATAAAAAAATATTAAATTTAAAATTATTAAAATAACTGAAAATTGTTTTAAAAATAATCACATTATAAAAAACAAATAATTCAAGTTGGGTTGTTTCATTTTTTGTCTCATGATAAATGCAATTGACATTAGAAGGATGTCAATTGCATTTATCTCCTTATGTCAAGCCAAATATGTGAATTAAAAGGGTTGTAATATATTCAATAAGAAATTTAAAGTTAGGACAAGGGAAAAAGGAAAAGCTTCTATTGACAATATTCATTCTGTTGGGTTTGTAACTTAATGGAGATATAGTTCCCCTCAATACTGGTTTTGATTATGAGAATAATTCAAAAATAGTTGTTTTTAACAACTCAGCTTTGAATTACTATGGATATTACCATAAAACTATGGTAATATCCATAGTTTTTAGTTCAATATTTGAAGGAATTGTTTAGTATTTTGAATGATAACTGAAAGACTTCTATAATTACTGTTGAGTATAAATAATACCATTATTATGAATTGTGACTTTTGGTTGTTGTTTGCAATCAAACAAGAGTTTATTGGAGCACAGTTAATATAATTTTCTGCATAGTCATTATAATACTTTGACGCACCAATTATACCTGTTGTAGTTTGATTCAAAGTCGTCGCTCCAAATTTGGATTAAACAGTTAACCAAACAAACCCGGGTTCTTCCTAAAGATTTTTTTAATATCAGCATTTCTATTGATGTTAATGTGGAAATTGTCAAAGATTCAATTGATAATCTGTACGCTGTATTGATTGTTGTTAGATCTGTTGATGGTACCAGATTCTGTATTTGTAATTGAGTGGTTTTACTTAATGAAATTATCAAAAATGATTTTAAGCGATGCATTAATGTTGTGATCCATCACAAATGTTCTGGAATTGTTATTTTGTACTCTAATTTGACACTTTACTGTTTCTTCAGAATTAGAGACATCACACGGACAATTAATAGTTGAAAACTGTTTATCATAGTCATTTGTTACAGTTGTTAAATAATAAATAAGATCGTCTGAATTGGTTTATTCATTGGTTCTGATAGTTTGTTTGGAGTTGTGCGACTACCTTTGTATGAACAATATTTGTTGCATCAGAAAGAACAACATCAAAACACAAAGATGGTGTATTTAAAATATTTGTGACAATCAATTTCTGTTCGGTATTTCTGTTTGTATACAACACAAATCCAGATGCTTTTGGTTTTAAAATGGTGATACTTACATAAAAAGTGCTTGTGATTGTTTTTTTTCTGTATCTATTTGGATTAAATTCATTATCATGAAATTTACTATATTCGGGGTTACTTGTTATTCAACCAAATTGAGTAAATTCAATTTTTTGATTTGATGAAAAAGTGTGTTCACTGGTATCAGACAATAGTAAGTTATTGTATTTCTTCGTTTGTTTTGAGTCCAAATTTTGAGTGGACACATGCAAGTCATATGAAGAGAGATCAGTGTCATGGTTGTAATCAGACTTATCATATGAATAACCACTATTGTGTATCTAACAGAAACAGTTAAGTTCTTGTGATACTCTAAAATTGTCTGCACCACATTACGTGTTAGATGCAGCAAATATTTTTGACATATATAAGACAACACTTTTTGCAGTTATAAATATTACAGTCATTTGTGTACTTTTTTGAGAAAAAATTCATTCTGTCATAATGATTTCCATCTGCAATTATTTGAGACGAGCCCGAACAATTACCTGTAATGTACGTCTCACACTTTGTGTATATGGAAGTGATATATTTCGAAGTAGAATTAACAGTCAAAGTATATATATATTTGTGTTTAAAGAAAATATAGTTGTTTCAGGAATTGGATATACCATCGATTTAAAGTGTGTTGATTGAAGTAAATAAGTTATTTCAGTATCAACAAATTTTAGTATAAAATTAGAAGATGTTAGTATGTAGTACATTTCATTCAAATTCTCACTTCGACAAGCAAGTTCATCAAATGTATTTTCTATTTTGTTATAAGTACAACTTGGTGTATCAATGTCAATAACTCTACTATAGCCTTCATATATTCTTACTAATTTTAAATGCACAATTGAATGTAGTGATGTACTTTCACCCAACAAGGCAATAGAGTTTGATGTTGGTGTGCCAGTCTTCTTTGCCAATTGCAGACCTTTTTTGAATACAACAAATGTATATGTTTGGTCAACTGTTTGGCTCATATCAAGTGTATCCAATTCGACTTTCATGTTGAAATAAATTTTCGAAGTTGTGGACAACTCACCGAATGTATCAAGTTTTAAAATAGAAGAACTTAACTTGTTGGATGATAACTTGTAAATCAAATAATCGCCAAAAACAACAGTCTTAAATTAAAGCACTTTTGTTGGTATTTCATTTCCGTTATTTTTTACACGAAGTGTCATTAAAGCATTATCGGATAAATTTCATTGTATTTATTAAAATCTAATTCATCATTAATGCAAGGAATAAAAAGGTGTACATTGTATAAACGGAAAATTTTTTCTTGCTTTTCTTGTGAAAATGCGGCTTTCTTAGTACAGTAAAACCTCGCAAGAGCGGGCATTTTTAGCCAATCAAACCATAAAAACCGCTCGATAGAGAAGTCTATTTATAGTTTTAGTTTATAAAATGCCCGCTTTTGAGAGAACCAGCTCTTTAGAGGTACCGCTCTTGGGTGGTTTTACTGTAATCAAAGTTTGATGTTGGACAAGAAAATTGAAAGGATTTAATTTTAATTAATTTAATTCCATCGAAATCGCCATCCACATTTAAGTGTTTAGTATCATTTTGATGGTATTGTATGTCCACACCACATCAAGCAGAACGGAAGTCGTATTTATAAAAATGACGGACGAAAAAATAAATGGAAACTTTAAAATTTCTGTTACAATTTTGTTTTCACAAGTATCGCACCGGTGACGGACCCACTTTTGGTCACGACAAACGCCTTCTTACATTTCCGTGTGTTGAAATCGTCAATTCTGATGGTGTCAAAGTCCTCAAGTTGCACTGAAAATTTCCTCTCCAAAATCAATTGAACTTCTTTCGTCTCACCACACGACTTTAACACTTCTGTTGTATATAAACAACTTTAAAACACTTACAATGAAGTTCTGAATCACACACTTCCCTTTGTTGTTGTAAAATTCAGATGTGACGTCTTTTGACTGGTTCTTCGCAATTTCTTCCAAGACGGAAATAAATTCTGGCGTTATATTAATCACCAGCATTTCATGTGGACCAATTTCTATGTGACAGTTTGGCAGCTCCACGTCAACGACAACATCAAATGGTTTAATAAATGGTTCCTTGACCCAATCCTTCTTCTTCAATATGTAATTGACGTACTCCAAACTTCCGTGGCTGACCTTCATCGACACTTTTCTCTCATCGACCTCCTTGAAATCGCGTCGCATGTGAAGATAAGTCCAAATAGAATTTCCACCGTCTTTCCTTCCTTCCACATCAAAATGGACCTCTGAAAAGAAGTTAATTTGATGCTCCTCATCGACAGCGCAAATCGCATGTTCAGAAACAAAAAAGGACTTCTTTTTGTTGCTTTTTCTCTCATATTTCTCTGTGCAAATTTGAGTCCCCGCGTCGTCTTGTGCTGTTCGACTTTGACTTCTGCAGCTCTCTGAGACGACGCAATTTGTTTCAGTGCATCGTTCAACTCGTTCAGTAATTTGGTGATGTTCTCCAATTCCCGATTTGAAACGCGGCTTTGGAAATCAGAAAGCGCAAAATTGGCGGCTCTGAAATTTGACGGAGATACTCAAGAGGTCAACTAACGCAATATCTGAACTGTTGTCCCACCCAAGCATCAAACTGTAAAGTTTCGTCGTTTTATACTAAAACTCCGGCAGAGTCCGGGAGACCATTTTGGATGTAAACGTTTCCTTCAAAACTGGTGCTGATAACCAATTTATTATTTACCGCAATAGTTCTTAAAGATGATACGAGTTGTATCAAACGTGAAATGGAAGTTCTGTCGTGTCACGCCAATTTCAGTGGTATTTTGAGACTGATTTATTTTTGCATCTTGAACTTCATTTTTCTGAGTGTTATTATCAAAATTCTCTCCGTCGGATTTTGAGTATTTTTCAGTAACCGGGTGAACCAACTTGATCACGCGTTTCAGAGATTGTGGGACCAATTTAAATATCAAAGAATAGAAGACGACCTCGCATTGTGAGTCCTCGTTGTGTTAATAGACGACGTCAACACACCTTTCGTCGTTCCCCGAAGTTGCGCGCTCGGACAAGTTATCCAAGTCCGCGAGTCTCAATGACGACAAAGAAAATCGATTTTCCTTTTTTTCTGATATGTAAGAGTGTATCATCAATGAGACGTTTAATATGGCTCGGTCGAGTGTCAGTGAACGCCTTTAATCAAATCTTCGACATCACAAAAAGAAACTATTTTGTTCACTAGTGATGGCGAAATTGGTTGCTTTGGAGTGTTGATTGGTATTAATAGTTAGTTGTTTTTATTAAAAGACAAAACCAATATATAAATATTAAAAAAAAAAATCTTTGTTTTTGGGAACAAAGATATATTAAAAAAATTATAATAAATTTTTTTAACATTTTTTTAAAATTAGTATTTATAATTTATTTTTAATATATAAATCATAAAATATAATAACACTCATATGGAATCGATTATATCCTTGAGATTCTTTTGTTTTTTCTTCCCATTTCTGTTTTTTTGTAAGATAAGTTAGCCCACTTCCCACTCCATACACACGATGGTGTAACACATTAATTTATCAAGTGCTCTGCCATATTTTCTAAGCTTAACTATATCTTTTTCCACTTTGCAGTGGAAACATCCTCATGTTGTTCAAAGATACAATGAACTTCGGGGTGGTGGTCATGTATTTCATAATAGTCATGACATTTCACGAGGGTATTGTTTTTTTTGTTTTTGGTCGGTATTAATATTTTCGAGGCAGGCTCGACCTAATGGGTGATCTACAAGGTATAATGCCATATGATGTGTGCCGACTTATTACTCGAGTCGGCATCGAGTCTCACAAATATACTACATGGTCATTTCAACACTTTTCTGTAATATAACAAACATTCAATGTTTTGATGTGTTTAACAATATTTTTTTGTGCTTTAAATATGGTTTCACTTTTTTCGATTATTTTAGCTTTGTTTATATTACATATTTTTAATATAATAAATTATTTTATAATAAAAAACTAAAGGCATAATATGTATTGTATTTTGGTATTTAAGGTTTAGTTGTGTTTTCATTTCAAACGGGTTGTTATATTTTTAATTATTGTGTTACTGAACAAAATATACTTTAAAATATAAACTTGTTATTATTTTATTTCAAAATGTTTATACAATATAGTCATGTACATCCTTTTATTTTAAGGTTGTTTTTAAGTTTTTCATTCGAACTTTAAGCATGTATGTATTTTAATTTTTAAAAAATACCTTTTCCTGTCAACTTAAAATAATTGCTATTGTTTTTATTATATTATTAATAATTTTTATAAAAACTATTTTTAAATTTATTTGTTTTTATCGTAATAAATAGAATTTATTGTTGTTGAGATTTATGTTAGTGGTTCAACATATTATAAAATATAACATAATTTTCAATTAAATATAATTTAGTTCAAAATTTGATTTAAAACCGAAAATAAAAAACAAAAATTAACAAATTTGTATTATAAATAAAAACATCTTGACAAACAAACTTATTGTTAATAAAATAACAATAATTATTTTAAATACAGTAAAAAGTGTCTTTTTGTGGGTTTTATATTTGTGGGTTACGTCTATTTGTGGGTCAATTGACCAATCAAATGCAAAACCCACAAATAATTATTATGCTCTCGAACCTTGATTTTAAATACACTTAGAAAATAATAAAGTTTTATTATAATTAAAAAAACTACTATATTTTTATAACACTGATTTTTAATGGAAAAAAATGGTGAATAGAATTTACTTCACAATTCCATGATAAACCCACAAATAAATATTTTTCTCTGTTTGAAAAACCACAAATGGATGCTTTTTATTGTATTAACATTCATTGTTTTATGAACAATTTGTCAATTCAATACTATAATAGAAATAATTAAATTTATTTATTTTTAAAAACACATTTTCGTTATTTTAAATAACTTTGTTGTTAAATTATGAATAATTTTTAAAAAATACATTTTATCAATTTAAATTAAGTATTTGAAAAACGAAAAAATTAAAACTGTAATTTAAGGGTTATTATTAAAATACATTTTTATGTTTTATTAATACCCGCTGTTTGTATAAAGTAAATTGTACTCGTTAATTACTTTTAAGTTGTTATATTATTATTTGATGTTTATATTTAAATAACACAATACATTATTTTTTCAATAATTATTGTTTTTTATTAAATGGATTATATTAAAGCGTTTAATTAATTTTATTTATAATTACAATGACTTTGAACTAAATGCGTCGAGTTATATAATGGAAATACTGTATATATATGATTTGTACTCAATTATTATTATTTTAAATCCAGTTTTATACACAATATAAATAAACAGATAAAGTAAAATAATCTGTTTGTAAGTTAGTTATCATAATTTACCGTTTTGTTTTTACAATACTCTTCAATGGATTATAGCGAATAACAAAATATGGTATTGTTGCATAAATTATAATCTTTAATTCACAAAACAATTTATTTTGTTTTTTAAATATGTTTTTTCTATCTAAATATTTAGATTTTAAATAAATAACTACATGCAATACAATCAATATGCATTTCAAAAACAACAAACAAAAAAATCGCAATTAAAAAGAAGAGCACTAATGGTCTAAGGGTAGAATTTCACCCTCCCAAGGTGGAGATCCGGGTTCGAGTCCCGGTTAGTGCATTTTTGTTTAAATTTTGTTGTCATCTGTTCAAATGATTTAATAATTTAATAATCTGAAAAACAAAAGTGGTGCAATTCATAACTATTAATTTTCTTTTAAATAACGATTTGCTTTCTTTTTTATTTTCTTTTTCCGTTTGATTTATTAAAAGTGTTAATACATTTTATTATAATTAACGAATTAATAAAAATTATGTAAACAAGTAAATAAAATTTATAGAAATTATTTAAAGTGTCAAGTAACGGATCTAGAGTGAATACCAATGTAAACTTTTTATTAAATGAGAGTTGCTCCCAATTTAATGACATGCTTTCCTTGTAATCTTTTAACACTTTCGACTTCTAGAACACTTAAGTACTGATTTCCTTCTTGGCACTCACCAAACCCAACAAATACTCTCATCACATTGTCGAATCTTTTCACGTAAAGTAAAACCAACATTTTGTATTGTTTTCTGTTAACTATTTTGACAAACATCTTTTGGAAGTTTTTCATCTCCTTCATCCAATACACAACAAAGTCGTTTCTTTCTTTCACGTTCAGTCCAAGCTTTTCCAGCAATTTGTTGACATCATTTAAATCATTAATTTTAACATCAACTCCTTCTAATTTGACATCAAAGAGATTTTTCCAGAAGAATATAACAATTCATTGTCTTTAATTATTAAAACACGGGGTTCTGTCCCTCTTCCCAAATATCTTTCTGTCCATCTTAATGTGTTTTCTGGTATTTCTGTCTTTGGTTAGACTTCAGTGACTTCCATTCCTTCGATTTTAAGTGAGACATCCAACTCGCCTTTTGTGTCGTTTTCGTCATACAGCAAAATGACTGGTTTTCCTCCAAAATATCTTCCTGCAAAGCCACTTCGTTTGGCAGTGATTGTCTTTTGAATGATTCGACTGATGCTTTCTTTGTCGATGTCACCGATTGCAAAGTGGAGACACCTTCCATGGAACATTTCTTCAATTTTTAGATTGTAATGGGTGTTGTTTTTGTTAGTGTTATAATAGACGAGTGCAACCAAATTCTTCACCAAATAATGCAAAAATTCAAATTCTCCAAAGTAATAATCATCTTTTTTTAAGTGTGGGTATAAAAAATGTATTTATTAAGATAATTAATATCGTCTCTGTCGAGTATGTTTGTAGTGCTATCAATAAGCACAACATAGATGTTAAAATCTGATTTATTATATCCATTTGGTGGATAATACTCTAGAGGTGATTGTAGTTCTACCTTACTCCCTGCCACTATGATATCAATTTTAATATCATTAACAATAATATCAAAGGTATAAACAGACTCAGTGGCCGTTTCTATGAGTGCTTTTTTATTTGGATTTTTTTTTGAGTGCTTGAAGTCCTGCTAACCTCTGAAAATAATTTTTATCTGTTGTGTTGTAAGACACTCTTTAAGTGACGTACTTTTGATTGATTTAAAGTTTATCGGTCTACCTTTTGATGGAGTTTCTCCCATAAATATGAGTTATAAAATATAACAGAACGTTAAATAGATAAACTTTCCCGTTTAGATGTTTTAAAATACATTAAAACGTTCTTTTTGTTTTGTTTATCAACCTCTTTCTTCTATATTTTATTATTTGATTTTTTCTGTATTTTGCCGAATTTATTACAACAAATGAAAAATATATTTTTAATTGGATTATTAAATATTGGTTATAAATAAAATTCATTTTTTGGTTGTTAGGTTTTGTTTTTTATTTGAGTTTTTATAATATATATTTCTGTTACAAAATAATTCTGTCATATTTAACAGAACTGTGATTTGGATTTAAATTGGTGTCAATATTAAAAATCGTCAAAAGCATTATAACTTGTCTTTTTTCTTTTTATGTGCTTCAAGTTTATACCAAACATTGAATAAAAATATTATTTATCTTTGTTTTGTTGTGTTTTCAAATATTGTTACAAGTAATACAACGATTTTAAAAACATTTTCAATAACAAGATATTATAATAGTAAATGCAATCATTAATTAAACAGACTTTTTATACTAATTATATTTTCAAGTTCAAGTAATTGTTGTAATTTTGTTATTGATTAACTGCATTGTGTTTTAATAAATTGTGTAATTATTTACAAGTACAATGATAAATGTGTGTTTAGTTCAACAATATAATTCAAAAATATCCCAATTGTGAATGGAAGTTTAACCATGAACATTTTAACATACAATGGTCATTATTAAATCCTTGGTATAACCAAATAATTTATCATTGTTTTTAATATCAAACGGTTTAAATACCTGTAATTATTTTGAACCAATTAAAATTAATAATAATTGTTATTATTAGCTTGTTTTTGTCTATATATTGTTTATTACAATGATAGTAATTATAACTGCTTCATATTAAATAATATCATGTTCTGCAAAAAAGTTGGAGTCGTGTTCAGTTATGTTTTGATATAACTTGAGATGTTTTGGCTTAACATACATTCATATTGGTTCCTACAGTAACTAAAAACGTCAAAACGGCAATATCTTATTGTGTTATTTGAAAAATACCAAAAATTGTTAAATAAGTTTTTTTACCAACAAATTATAGTTATTAAAAAATGATAAAAATAATTTTCTTATTTTAATGTGTTCGTATTTAACTTTTTAAACAAACTGTTTATATTGATTGGATTAAATTTCAAGAAAAAACGACCACACAACAAATAATATATTAATTGGCTGAATTATATTTATGTATGTATTAAAATTTATTTTTCTATATTTTTACTATATCAAATACCAAACAATTAAAAAATGAAACAATTTTAATGTGAAAAATTATAAATCGCTACAGAGTTATTGCAACATCTGGTCATTTTTTACTTTGGGTTGAAACAATTGGTGTGTATTTAAATAAAAAATTCATACGATTAAACATCAAGACATGCCAGTGACATACACAACCAATGTTGCAGAAGTAAAACAAACAATTGAAAACAACAAGAATGTTCTTGTCATCTTCTACTCTCCCGAGTGTGCAAAGTGCAAAGCAAGTGCTCCAATGATGGACAAACTTGCTGACGAACACACAAACCTCAAGTTCTTCAAAGTTGATGCGACTACAGCAACTGATTATGCTGCTGAATACTCCATTGCATCACTTCCCACATTTGTCTTCTTCCAAAACCAGAACGTCATGAAAAAGGCGCCTGGCAGTTCTGAAGTTCTTGAGGAGATTCTCAAAATGGTGCAGTAATTAATTCACTGCATTCTTCATTTTTTATTTTTTGTTTACAATATTATAAACGTAAGCTACGTTTTCAAATGGAAGTATTGTTGTATTTATTCCAATGTGTCAAGACTCAAAGTTAAAATTGAGTCTTGACAAATGGAAGGTGTTGACGTGTCGCATTGTATAAAAATGAACTGATGCCAAAACAGTCATCAGCAAGCATGGTGTTCCACTTAAAAATGTTTGAAATTGTTGCAATAAAGCACAACACGCCTTTACATAAGAAGACAGTCAAAACAGTCACATATATCACATCAAACAAGCAAGACGATAAGAAAAAAAAACGGTGGGCTTATCAAAATCTCAAGAACAAGAAACCAAAATGTAAGAATCCAACACATATTGAAATACGCTCACAATTTGCTTTCATCTGATTGTCGTTCAATTTGATTGTGTTATTGTTGTTTTATTTTATCAATTTAAATTCTTTAAAAATATTATCAAATATAATTTATATAAAATTGACATAAACAAAAAAATAGTCAGACAGACTTCAGTGCCTCTCATCTCAGAGTATTGTGCACGCACTCGACTCCTCAACAAGCAGTTCATCGTGCATTGCTGTGTATATCCCTATGGCACTAAAATGATGAAAAGTCTTCATCCTATTTTGTGAATTCTATTTGTTAAATAGAAAGTGACATACTCTAAGAATGATCCTAGTCGTACGGTCTAATTCCCATTTTTTAATACTTTATCTTTATAATTATTGCCAAATTTTGAAATAATGAATTTCACTTTTATTTATAATTTTGTTGATTAATTCAATTTACTACAATTTTAATATTAATTTTATAGTTAATAATAAATAATAAATTATTATAAATAATATATATTTGTATTAAAAAGTAAATAGTTATTTAATATTAATAAATTAATTTAAATCAACTTATCAATAACATATTAAATTTGTACAATTTATTTTCATTGTTTGTAATTTGCAACTAAAGTCTAAATTTTTTAATGATATTTAAAAAATACAAGAAGGAAATTTACAACAGTCAAAGGCATTTTTGTCGTAATTATAATTATCGAACTTGCTTATCCGTTGCATTACTGACCATTCGTTAAAATGTACAACAGTTAAATAATTTGTTTTTTAATCTGTACCTTTTTGAAAAAAAAACAAATTTCAATGTTAATTTTAGCAAATCAACTGAATCAACTTTGTTTGTGGGGAAGTGAAAACTGGATAAATTTTATCTGGATCATAATTTATTTTTAGAATAATTAAAAACAAATTCAACACACACAAAATCTGTTTTTCCGCGCGACCTAATGGTTTTTACAGACCAACGTTTCCATTTTCCACTTGTACAAGATGGTCAATACTTGCTCTTACAAAACATACATAAGAGTTTTTATGGAAGCGTTTCGGAATTTATCAATTTTTTTATAATTCAATTTGGTGAGTAACACACCTTTTTTATTAAAATTTATTAAACTAAAATCAATTAAAAAGTAACTTAAAAAGCGATCTACAAGACAAATACCAAAACTACAATTAACATTCTTAAAACTCACCATTCTTACATTATTTAATTCTTAAAAATTTACATTTATTAAAATAATATTAAACCTCAATCATTCATGAAAATAATTAATTTATCAATAATTTATTACTGTTATATATTTTTATTAACACTTTAAATAACATTGAACAAAATTTAAGTGGTCTAAAAATCGGGGAAATATTGAGTTTATTAAATAAATTTCCGTTTTTTTAGAGTTTATTTTATGTGCATAAACAATACACAAGCCAAAAAAAGGAAAATCGTCAAAAATTTGATTAATATCCCTGTAAAAACAGGCCAAAACAAAAATAAGGGCGTTATTTTAAGTGTTAATATTTATAATAATTATATTTTCTAATATAAACCAGAATTGAAAACTAAAAATTTAGATGGTCGTTCTTGAACCCGTGTTTTTAAAAAATGTTGTTCTTTATCTGGATACTTTAAATGATGTTTACTACTTCATGTTTATAAATAAATCTTGTTTATCTGTGGTTCAGACGATGTACATAAACACTTACAATGCTTCTTTGAATTCTTATGTTGACACGATTCTTAAAATTTTTCCAAACTTACAAACACTGTACTTTTCTGCTGTAACTCGTCTGATACAAAAATCGAGTGGGTCTATTCCGTTGATCGAAGTGAATCCAAAAAACACAAACTTTTTTTTAGAACGGACTTTGAAGACGAAATGGTTTCCTTCCAAAGTCAGGAAACTCAAAATTAATTCCAAAGAAATTGAGGTGCTTGAAAAGAACATCGACAAATTCGAACAACTTCAATTCCTGAAAATTGGGTATTCTTTACAGAAAAGTGAAATTAAATCAATACTAAATATTATTGGGAAGAGTACATTAAAAAAAGTTTATATAACAACTGACGTTGTTTCATTCAAAAATTTTAAAAATTTTGATTTTGAAAAACACGAATTTACAACGTACGTTTTTGTTATTACTTATTCGCCTTATTTATCAGAAATTCCCGACTATGATATACTCAGACACTTACCACAAAATGTCCACATATTTGTCAATTTTATTTCAAAAGAGACAGAAAGTCTCCCATATATCACACAGGAGTACATGAATTATTCATTTGGTGATAATGTAAGTTCTGAATTCGTTTATGTTCTTTCTGATTTTGGGGGTGGTGCGAACGAACTAGAAAACATCATGTCAAAGTGTCTGCAAACCAAATTAGAAATTAGTAATCCTTGGATCCAAGAATATGGCTTTATGGTCAAACAAACAATTGAAGTTCCCGATATCTGCTTTGATTTGTCAAATAGCGAATTGATACAAGAAATTACACTGAAAAACGTGAATGCTAAACACGTTGTTCTTCCTATAAGAGTCAAAAAGATCGCAATAGAAAATGTCGAAGGAGAAATAGTGATGGAGAAATGCACACCACATGCTATTCGAGTTTGTGGGTATACTGGGAAACAACTTGTTTTAAATGATGAAAAATTGAGTGTTGTGGAATATAGAGACGTACTAAACGGTGTCAATTTTATTCACAACAACACGTTATATAGTGGCAAATACATCATCGACTTGGATAAAATTAAGAGCATTGATATTGATAGATTACCAACTGTAAAATGCGTCGTTTTTATAAAGAACAATAAAACACTTTTTGAAGGAAATCTGTCGGCTGTACATTTCAGAGAAGACTCTCTTAGTATCGAAAACCTTGCAAATGACATCGACATTACAGAGTTCGGTGTTAACTCCTTTAGTGTTTTTAAAACTTCAAATACACCAAATATGGTATTGGGAAATGTCTGTTTTCTTAATATTATGAAAGGAGAGTTTAATTCAATTTATATTGGTGACTGTCAAACAATTACTTTAAGACAGACGAATATTAAAAAACTTGATATTAATGTATGTAATACTTTCACTTACAAAAGCTCTAAAATCACAACCGTGAAGGGTAAGAAAATCGAGTCTATTAATGGCACAAAAAAGGCGATTAAAAATTGGGAAATTGAGAATTCAAGTGGAATTAACAACTTAAAGGAAGTGAATAATTAATTGTTACGAAAAAATAATATTTCTTAGATTTAGGTCATTTGAGTGTTAAACAACATCGAAAATAGAAATTAACAAATTTGATATAAAAAACAAGCAAAAAAGAACAAAAATTACAACAAAAATATATGATAATTGTTTATAAAAACAAAAATAAATAATAAAAGCCGCATATTGGATAAGTTGAACTTGATAAATAATGTTTAACAAAATCAATAAATAACAACAATGACAAGTAAAACAGTGTAAAATTGGTGTTCATCGAATTAACACAAATTTTAAAAAAAAATATGTTAATATTAAGAAATATAAAGAGAAAGTAAATATACTTATTAAACAGACAAAAATTGTTGAAAAACTGAGTACGTCATATAATTAATAAAATACAAATCAATTTTATAGATTCATAGTCGGTATTTAAAAAGTTTCAAATTGTTTCAAAATGATTATTGTATTATGATGTTTATATCAATTGTCAGCGACGTGTTTACGTTTCACAATCCAGTTTGAATTTCATTTCAACTTAAAACAAATTCACTGTTAGTACGTTGTCACAGTCCACGTGTAATAAGTATGGCTTCGGCTTAATACATTAACAGTAACACCTTTAATCAATGTTGGGGAATTTACTGTTATTGTGACAAAACCACGAATCTGCTCGCCAAGTACTTGTCCAGGGTGTGTTAGAGTGATGTCAATTGTCATTAATGATTTTCTATTTTACAGTTTGAGAAAATGTTTATCAAAATGGAATAGATACGTATTAATATATTAATTGTATTATTATAATTATTAATACATTATTGGAATAATACACTGCAACACATTATGGTGATTTTTAGGTTCCAAATATTTCATCCCTCATCGCTTGAAGATTTTATCTGACATAAGAGTTGAAGGATAAAATGTTCTAAAAATAAATCTTTTTTTTGTTATTGGATAAATAATAAGAAAAAATTTAAAAAATCAAATTCATTTTTTTTGTTTTTTACTGTTTTTTGAGTTTTTACCCAATTATCATTAGTATTAAACAAAATCCAGCGTTAAGTTTTCGTTGGTAAGTTGTAATACGGACTTTATTATAATTATCGGGTTTGATTATAACAACAACATTTTTTGTTGTCAATATAATAATTTGTTGTTTGTTGTTCATATTTAATGGTGCTCCTTGTCGCATGTGTTGAATTTAAATTAAAAATTTGAAAAAATTCTTTATAATAAATTATTTTCAAAATGAATAATAATATATAAGATTTACTTTAACTACAGAAAATTTCAATTACAATTTAAACTTTATTAAAAAACAACAAACTCAGTTATAGCAATGGAATTAATAAAAACGTTACTTAGACAACCAATGATAATTTATGATTAAATTTTTTGTTTGACAAGAAATTCTTTGTTGTTGATTTCCAAAATTTTTATAAAATAAAATTATAAGTCGTTTAAAAAATTAAAAAATTTACACTTCAAAATAAATTTAAACACAATTTTTTATTGTCATGCGATTTACACCAATTTAAAACATATATATCAATATAATTATTTTAATCTCTTTTTTATTTGCGTGATTATTATCAAACGATTTATAAAGTAGATACATTAATGTATGAGTTTTATACATGAATGTAAAAAACTTAAATTTTATATTGGAATAATAAAAATAAAATAATTTAAATACGGTGAATATTCGATAAGAGGGCTATTCGATATAAGGATTTATTCGATAAGAGACCAAAAAATAAGAAGGAGGTCTTTTATCAAATATTGAAAAAAAAATCAAAAAACAACAACTTCTTTTTTTTGCTATTTTTTAATGTTTTTTTGTCCAAAACCTTAATATGGTAATACATAAACCAAATTGTCATTAAGTTAAAAGAAATTAAAATAATTTTTAAAATTATTTTAAAAACAAATGAGTTTTTCATCTAAAACCAAAATAATGTTAATTAACGTGTCGTTGGAGCGTGTTGAATTATGACAAAACAACGCATGTTCATTTTAAAACCAAGAGTTGTCAATATTGCTCTTCATATGTTCGTTTTAATGCTGTTTGTGTTGTCTGTCAATATTTTGATTCTATAACGGACGTTTTGTGTTTTAATAAACACTAATAAAATAAAGCATTTGTTTTTCATATTATAAATCACAAAAATTTTATAAAAATTAACAAAAATATTTTTTGGGTGAAAATATAATTTGGAATTTTGTTGAGACAAAAAACAAAATGTGGTATTTTTTGTTAATTATTCAAGTTTTTATTATTTGACCTGATATCGAATAAGACTGGAACATAGACTGGACTATTATCGAATATATACTGTAATAAGAATAAAAGTTTGTTTCCATAAAAAAACAATATGACTTTAAAAAGTTAATATTAACAAACATCAATTTCTTTTTTGTATATTTTTTTCATTAATTTTAAAAATAAAATTGATAAAAAAAATAAATAAATCAAATAATTATAATTTATTTTAAATATGATTTAAGGAAATAAAAAAAAATATGTTTAAATCCATAAAAATCACAATTATATTAAAAAAATGTTAAAAAAATTAAATATTTAAAAATGAATAAATAACATATAAAAATTTGAAAAAAGGAAAACAATGAAAGAATAAATAAATTGAAAATCTTAATAAAAATATTAAACAACAAAGTGTTGATACAACTGACTTTATCTATCACACTGTATTGATACCACTGACTCTAATTTATTAATATATAAACAAATATTTTTATTATAATACTTATATTTCTAACATTATTATTTATTTTATTTATTATTTACAATTAACACTTTTTATATATATATTTCACATTTTTTTTATATTCGATTATTATATTCATTATTTTTTTTACTTTTACCAAAACTTTATTTTTTATGTTAATTTCTTTTTTATTTATGATTGTTTATACAAATATTCCACTATTAATAATATAATCATTTATTAACAACTTTTTGGGAATTTCCAATGGTACAAATATCACAGTAAACTTCGTTGTAATTTGAGTAATTCAAAAGTCCGCATTTTATCCAGTTTGTAAGTATTTCATAACATTTGAGACACTGTAGGTCTTTTAAATAATATTCTATTAAACACAAAACACAATTTGAATCAGATACTTCTTTGCAATGAAATTCCTTTTTGTGAAATAATTTCCTTCGAAATTAATAAGTTCTTTTGTTGTATTTTGTTGTGTTTCGACACACCTTTTACCTATCAAAACAAAATCTGAATTACAAGCCACACAGGCACTCGTATTGGGATCAATGGAGACACAATTTTTATCAATTTGGCAAATACCCTCAATCAAAACTTCGTTTGGAGATAAACAGTTGAAACAAAGTCCATTTGTTTTGTTAGAGCACCCACTACTTCCACATGTTTCACAAGTCACACATTCGAAATTTTCTATCCAAAATCCCGGTTTGCACTTCTCACACTTTTTGTTTCCGTTTTCATCAATGAAGCATGAAATACTTTTGACATTATCGGGTTTACACACAGAACACAACCCATGTTCATCAATGTATTTATTGTTATCACATGTGATACACGATGTTGAATTGCATGTTATACAACCACGCGTTGAACAGTCTGTACACGTTCCAAAAGATTCTGTCATTTCTTCTGAAGTGGTATTTTCGAGATAATACCCCTCGATGCATGACACACATTGTGTTTGAGACAAACAATTGATGCAATTTGCATTGCACTTTTTACAACTTTTATTGTCTGTGTAGTATCCTTTCATGTCACACAATGAACACGTCTTGTCATCTTCCTTATAATAATATCCGTCAAAACATTTTGAACAGGTTGATTCAGAGTGGCAAACATCACAACTTGTTTTACAAATATCGCAGTTGTAATTCGACAAATAAAAGTGGTCCATACATTCCAAACATCTTGTCTTATCACATTTTGTACAATTCTCATATAGGTCGCCACAGTTAAGGCATTTCCCATCACGTAAAAACAGTCCACTTTTGCACTTATAACAATCGGTTTCATCACACACTTCACAATTTGGATGTATTGTTTAACATGTTAAACAGATACCATTATCCAAATAAAAACCACCTGAACAAGAATGACATGTTGTGATGTTGCATCTATCACACGAATGAAATCCAAAGAGCATAATGTACAAGTTCCATATTTTATAAACGAAATTTTATCACACACAGAACACTTTGATACATCACAAGATATGCAATTATCAAATTTGGAATTACACGGTTTACAAACTTAAGTTTCGAGATAAAACCCATTTTCTCATTCAAGACAGCTTGATTCATCATATAAACTGATAACAAAAATGTGGTACTGGACATTTTTAATATAAAATATAGTTTTAAATATAGTTTAAATATTTTTTTGTTAAAAAAACAAGGAAAAAAGCCGCAGTTTTTTTCGAGTAAAATTTTTAAAAATCTAAATTTTACTACTAAAGCCGCGTTTTTGAAGACAAACTAAAAATTTGTCTAATTTCAATGTTTTTTATTATAATAATAATCAAACAGGATGACCAAAAAATCACAATAAAATTGTTTATATATTTGAGAGAACAAAAATTCGGGGGTGCAGCCAGAGCTTAAGCTGAAAGGGGGATTTATGATTATTTAACGAAACTTTTTGGAGTATCCAAGCGGGATATCTCAAATATTAAGAAAAGTCAACAACATTTTAAGTCTTAAAAAGGTCAGTTTATTAGTCATTTGTTATTATCAATTAAGTTTATTCGTTTTGGCATTAAATATTGTGTTTTAGTTCATGTTTTGTATTTTCAATTATTTTGCCTTATTATTAGTTAATCTATTATTTCATTTAAGTCCGTGTTGGTCTAAAATCCTCACAGCTTTTATTTTGAAATATTTGTTAATTTAAAAAAAGTTCTAACAAAAAGCCGCGGTTTGATTTAAAAAATCTTAGGACGAATTTGCGATTTTTTCTTCTGTTTTACACAAAATTTTCTTTAATAAGTATAAAAAATAATAGAAAATAATGTGGTACCATAAACACTAATTCAACAATTTTTGGAAGCCAAACAAAAACAAAAAATGAGGAAATTGGGTTTAAGCAATTTATTGGTAGTACCAACTTTTTGTTAACAGTTTATAATACAATTTGTGTACTTCGATCTACATTCTCTACAAACAGTCTGGTCAACAAAAAATCCGTTTTTACACGTGTAAAAACGGATTGATAAACACGTTATTCAATTGTGGAACGTTTCATTGTATTTTACACATCCATTTTTATTCAAGTTATACGTTTCTTCACAAATCGTACATTTGGTTTCGTCACAAATTTGACACCCTTGATATTTGGTTAAGCATTTATTACATTGGAGATAATCAACAAAATGTCCCACATTGCATTCTTGGCACTGAGTTTTATTACATAAGTTACAATTTGTATAAACTTCAGAACATGGTTGACATATTAAATTTTTATCCAAATAATTTGGTAAGCATTTGGTACATGTTTCAGTTGTACATTCCATGCAATTTGGAAACAACTCCCCACACTTTACACATTTCCCATCCTTTAAAATGTAATTTCGATTGCAGCCCAAACATAACATAGCATTACATGAAGCACAGTTTGTATCATATTTAGAACAGGTATAACAAATTGACAACACATTGAACTCAAATTACACCCAGTAACAATAACAGTGTTTACAATTAAATGATTATTTGATATCTCCGAAGTGTCCAAAACATTTTTGATATTTTTTAAAACAAAAAATGAACATCCCAATATTTTTGTTTTGCTTTTTCTTACAATAAAAAGTACTTAAAAACAACTACTTAAATGTTTTGACAAGCGTACGTTAGTCAGATAATTTGTTTAAACACTTTGACATAGTACTTTTGTATGGCAATGATAAACTCGTAAAATTATCAAAAAACATTTAGATAGTTTAAAAATTAATTTTTTTTGAGAAATAAAAGTTATTTCAAATATCACGTTTAAAGCTGATACTTTAAAACATTTCAGTTACTTTACAATATAAATTTGCTTAAAATACAATAATAATTTAGTATTGTTAAGTATTGAAAAAGAAATAATTCAAAATAGACAACAAAATAGTAAATTTATCTTTGCAAAATCAATAAAAATCGATTTTTATGTCAAAAAACACAAACAATAATAGTAGATTATGAGAGAATTATAAGAAAGAATAATCATATATTTGAG